AGTGAAAGTGTGCATGATGTCAGTTATAAGTTATTTCCAAAATTTGGGTTCTGCTAGTAAAGTAAAGTGCAAGTAAACTGCAAGTGTAAACTAAACAGACCAATAAGACTTGATAGTACAAAAAAAAAAAAAAAAAAAAAAAAAAATGGTTAGAGGGAAGGAGGTAAAATTTATCCAATCAGAAGTATAAATTGGGTATAAAACTTCAGAATCAGTATATGGAGGAGCAGGGGTGGGACTTATTTTGGTTGCATGGTAACTCAACCTTATTTAAAGTTCTGAAAATATTAAAAAAAAAAAAAAAAAAAAAGTAGAAGAGTGGGGGAGGGGGAGGAGAGAGAGTGAGAAATTACAAAAATAAAAAAAAAATTACCATCTTAGCACAATACCAAATACAAATATTTGCTTCCGTCCTGCCACTAAAAGATGCTGTGTACTCTTTTTTGAGTGGGGTAGGAAGAATATTTCCCAGTTCTTAGCCTTCAATAAGTTTGTTACATATGTATATCCAACACCATTGCCTCATTAAACAATTGTTTTAAGGGAGAACAGGACCCTCAAAGACAAGTGAAGGGTTTAGTTTTTTTTTTTTTGTATGGAAAAACACCGATTGCATGTATCATTTTCAGTTTGAGGTGTGGGGGGGGGATCTCTGAACTGGCCATGTAACAGCATCCCTAATATGACCTTAATGTTGCATGAACATTAAACATTTACAGTTTTATGATGACAGGCAGCAACAAAGAATGGTAGGGAATGTATACATTAATACTAAAGGAATAACATTTCAAAATTTGTTTTTCTTCCCCCTTTCCAGTTTAAGAGTTTTCACAGCATCTTCTGGATTGTCATCTGAACCCTTCATAGGGTTAAAAAAAAAAAAAAAAAAAAAAAAAAAAACTGCCAAACTAAATTTACATAGGAAAGAAAGAAGAAAGAGGAAGCATATTGAACATGCATACTTTATTGATTGGAATGCGAAGACATGCAAAGGCTTACACAATTATTATAATAATACACTGTTTACCCTTGTTAATACAGCAGCAATGAAGCAGGACATATCGCAGATGATTTAATAAGGCCAATACTTTATAGCACCACATATTGGGTTCTGGGAGCAGTAAGGATACAAAACACGTTTTAAAATGTCATTTGTTAAAAAGGGGGGAGCTTGTGGCAGTGGCAGGTGAGTTGGGTGAAGGTAGGTATTAGAGTACAATTGACAGGTCAAGATTAGCCACAGAATAAGTGGGCTTATTTTTCCTTTATGCAGTGGGTTTGAGAATAAGAAAATAAATGATTTCAATACAAAAGAAAAACATTGCACTCACACACACACAAAAAAAAAAAAAAAAACCCTCCCCCACTAGAATTTGTTTACAGTTAGCAAGATGTAGATTTTTTTTTTTTTTTTTTTTTAAAGTGAAACACAAAGTAATACAAATGTATTAAAAAAAAATAAAAAAATAAAATACTGATCAAAATATCTGAACTTTTTGATCTTTTGGAGAGCATGAAGGGAGGGAGAAAGGACAAAAGACAACATTTTTTTATTTTTATTTTTTTATATATATATATATATATATATATATATATATATATATATAAAATCATAGCTTTGCATTGATTCAACAGACTGAAATAAAAACCTCAAAGCAAGCTGAACTACCCACTTCTGATAGGGCATGAAAATTGGAGGAGGAAAAGAGGCTACAATAAATAGTCAATAGCTTGTTATAAGGGATGAGTAGGTAATGGAGAAAAAAAAAAGAAAAAGAAAAAAGCATAGGGTGTTTTTTTTTTTTTTTTTTTTTAAGGAAGGATATTTCCTTCGTTGTCTCACGATTGTATATCGGCAATCACAGATTAGAGCACACAATTCTTGCTTTAAGAGAAGTGACTAGCAGCATAATGTGAGCAGCAAACATTATTTTTAAAATTAGCACAGTGTTCATTGACTGAAGAAATTTATTACCCCACCTTTTGTCTCCGTGAAGCAGAATTGTTCAAGATAACTTCCTTTCTAGCCACAAGAGCAAAGGTGCTTAAGTGTGGCAACAAGAAACTAAGCAAAACTGAAGTGTAATTGTGGCTAATAGAGAGGAAGAAAGGCAGGTTAGGAAACTGAATTTAAAGTGTATGGGGAAGAAGATTAGTTATTTTAGAAAGGATAAGTTTGCCAAAAATGATTAGTTGCTATTTCATGGTAGTAGTAGTAGTAACACTAGTGAGGGGAGAAAGAAAACGAGTGCCTTCAAAACCTTTCAGAGGTTTTTTTTTGTTTTTTTGTTTTGTGTTCAAACACAGGGAGAGGCAAGAAAGAAGAGTTGCCATCAAGAAACTAAGGCAATAGTGGAATGTTTTTTTTTTTTTGTTTTGTGTTTTTTTAAAGTCATTGAGCAAATAGATCTGAACCCCCCCACCTCCCAAAGAGACCAAATGGATGAACAGTTGAGGACAAGCAATAAGTGTTTGTATATTTATATATAAAGATATAGAGCACAATCCTCCTATCTCCATTTCAAGTCAACCATAGATGATAGGGATAAAATAGTAGCCAGAATATTAATGTTGATATTAAGACAAGTCAACAACATAAGATAGTGGCATGAGAGAGAGAGAGAAAAAAAAAAAAAAGCTCAGTTTAAGAATTGAAAGAAAAACTAGTTATTTGACATTTTTGGTCTGGGTTCTAAGATGGTTGGTGAATCATTTATCTGCCCTTTAAAATTTGACATATTCATTTTGTGCTTGAAACAAAATGAATGAAATAATTGCCAATTCCCATTTATAAATCCAGAGTCGATCTTCTATGACTACAGATTTAGGATTGAGAATAGGAACGAGGCAGTCAAGCAAGCCAGATAGTTGAAGGCCAACAAACTCACCAGGTTCCCCCAAGAACACATTTCCTCTAAGTCATGGGTATTGGTGGATATTGGTGAAAATAGTTTAGTCTTATGCATTCCAGGGGCCAAGAATTTCTAACCACACATTAGGAAAGAAATCTAAGCCAAATATATGCTGAATTTTAAAAGGCAGTGTTCTTTTAGGTTTAGGAAAAAATAGATTAAGTTTTTTTTTTTTTTTTTTTTTAAAAAGAATGAAATTTCAGAAGAAATGGATTGGAAAAATAGACAAGTATGTGTATGCATCAGAAAGAAGTTAAGATCTACCAAGGATTTTCAATCAAATGGACTGAATTAGTAGTATTGGTAGCCATTATAATAGAAATAAGAACAAAATTCCTAAGTTTTTTTTTAAATGCTACAAAAGAAATCTTATTGTACAGATGAGACAAAGAATTAAGATTTCAATAAAGATGGAAGCTAGAATGCAGAAAGGGAGGTGGACAAAAAAAAAAAAAAAAAAAAAAAAAAGTCTTGAAATGAGGCAAGATTAGTGCTAGAAGAGCAAATATTAAGAACTTCTAGACACTTTGGAACAGACTTTTGCCCAAAGGAAATTCCAAGAAAATAAATCAGATATCTGAGTACAAAAGTCTTTTCCACAGAAAAGACCTAATATTTTGCCGGTTCATTGGCAAAATGAAAAAAAAAAAAAAAAAAATTTTTTTTCCTTTTAAATTTGGTCAAGTTCTTTGTCTTGCCTTTAGCTGCTGATCAGAGAGATAAAGGTATTTTATGCCTAGGTGAAGAAATTTTATAAGACTATCATAATATAGAATTATGGTAGACCAATTTCACAAGTCTTCAGCCAGTAAGTTTTATTTTTTTTTTTTTTTTTTTAAGTGAACTAAAGACAGCAAGAGTTTTGAAAACAGAACCGCATTTTTATCAGAAAGGTATTCAGATCATTGTAGGATAAGAGGGCAATATACAAAAGTGTTAGAGGAAAGGATTCCACTAATTATCACTACCAATAAATTTTAAAAGCCTTGATAAAAAAAAAAATAAAAATAAAAAAAATAAAAAAAAAAAGATTATTTTTATAAGATATTCATTGCATTTATTTTTTCCAAAAAAGACCAGAGAGGAAAGAAAAGAAAATATATGTATCATGAAATACAAAAAAAAAAAAAGAAAATACAAAAGTATTTCAAGAAAATAAAATTAAAAAATTTTAAGTCAGACTACACGTTTTAATTTTTATTCTTACACTCCAATTTGGTTGAACCCCCCCCGCCAAGTTAATATAATGACCAATATTTGAAAATACAGAATTTGTTGCCATTGATAGTTAAAATTCATGTGAATTCTTTGTGGAAATTCTGAAGACTTTAGATGGCAAGATGAAAATACGGCTGATGTGGAAATTCTTTGCTCTCACCGTATATTCAAGAGAATAACATATATAGAGTTATACACATTGGGAAATTTTGGCCAAGTATACTTGACCATTATACAACAGCAAAAGAGGAAAAAAAATTAGTTGCTTTAGTTTCAATTTCTTTGGCTTTTACGTTAATACAAAAACCTTGCTTATAATAATAATAATAAAAAAAAACAAGCATTAATACTAACATTTTAAAGAATTAATTCAAACTTCAAGGAAAGGTCCTTAAATTACCTATTACATAAAAAGGTTAATTCTTTGATATCCCAATGCCATCATGATCATGTTTGAAAGACTACAAGAAGCAACTAGACATGAACTACATGGTTGTTGGCAGTGCCTGGAAAAGTTATACATGAAGGATGGAAAGAAGGAACATAGGGAGTGAAAGAGACAAAGTTAGAAAGACAGATGGGAGAGAAAGAGAGCAATATGCAATTTACAGCAGCCATATTAGTGGTTTTGAAATTTCACTTTTTGTGTAACAAGTTTTCACACCAAACCAGCTTGTCCAAAGATAATCCAGTGTTGACTGAGAAGAACACCAGAACAACTTTTGAGCGATCAATTATCAACAGACAAAGCTAAGAACTTGTAGATTTTTTTTCCAGGTTTAGTTTGATTTGAATTTTTTTCACTACTTTCCACAGGACTGAGCAGCGACAGTTTCCTTTACTTCTTGAAATTAATACTTTCTCTCTCGTCTATTGAGCAGCAATCTCAGTGGCTGCTGGAGTAATTTCTGTAGCTGGTGCTTCCTTTTTCAGGTCATCATCCTCAGCCACCTTCTTGGGGGCATCGTCACTTTCTTGAGGAGCAGAGTCAGCAGGTTTTTCCTCCTCAGTATCTATTAAAGAAAAAAAAAGAAAAGAAAAAAAGGAAAGTTAACCTCAAAGTTTCTGGTATATAAACTACACTTAAAAATGGCAAAAATCTACAACATCTTAAGAGCCAGGAGTATGCCATGGTAATCATTGGTAGTACTCTTATACATGAACACCATGAAAATACATACACCTTTATCAGTTCTGTTATCTGATGAAGTATAAACATTGGTGATATGAAAGATGGGCAGAACATTCAGGTTTGAAACTGGGGGCATTTGACATATCTTGATGCCTAGTGCTGTGTACACAGAATGACTAAAAAAAAAAAAAAAATAAAAAAATAAAAAAATATATATATATATTACTGTTCTCCATGGCTGATCACAAGTTTTATGATAGAGACCAGAGGCTTCTGGCTATAATCACCTATGGTAATAAAATTGACACCAGTTCAAATCTAAAGACAAGCAAGTAGAAAAACCATAAAGTGCAATCATTGGACCATGGAGGACTTATTCAGGATTCCAGTAGTTCCAAATGAAGGTATGAGGTATGCTCATGTGGCATGGGTTGGACCCATCTAAACATCATGCACTTCAACAATACATTTCAGTGGGAGAATGACATGTTATTGGGCCAGAGTTGTGTAAAATTAGTTAATTATGGTACATTGTGAAGTTTATCTGCATGCAACATACTTCACCTTCAAATATCCAAGGTGTTTATTCCTTATATTGGGGGCTAACTAGCCTTGCAAAATGTTGCAATTCAATATGGACAATTCCACATATTGGCAGACTCCTAGATATCCTAGGACTTGGCTTAAGAGATGAATATGCCTGCTATTGACAATGAAAGCAAAAGTTAATTCATAATACTGTGCTATTTTCACAAGATCAAACATTGCCACCCCACACCACAACTAAATTCAAATACAAGCCCCTCCTCTCTCCCACCCACCAAACCTAATTATTAGATATGAATATTTAGATCACTGTGGAAGCATGTTTACCAAAATTACAGCCATACACCATATAATTAGAAATAAAACCATAATTACCTTTCTCAGATTTCTCCTCAGTTTTCTCTTCAGCTTTTTCAGACTCTTCTGTCGTCTTATCCTTGGCCTCTTCCCCCTCAGATTTGGTCTTCTCTTTGGATTTTTCCTTGGGCTCCTCTGGAGGAGGAGGTGGTGGGGCATCAAGGGGTTCATAGCCTTCCAAGTGACAATACCTAGCACTCAACTCATACACTTTCTTCTGCAGTTCCTCAACGGACTCCTCAGGAGCCTTCATTTCTTGGTTATCCTTGTAATATTTGCCGCATACACCTAAGAATAAATGAAAAATGTAAGAACTAGAAAGCAAGTTTGAGGAATCATTTTGAAAATTTCCTAAACAAATGAAAGCTTAAGTGTCCACATTATGAAAGGCCATGACAATCATAGCTCTACAACATCCCAATGTCTGACCCTTTACCATGCCTCTGTTCTTGACTCGAGATCCACTCAGACCAAGTTATTCTGGTGCTTTTTGCCTTTATTATTATTATTAAAATTGTGTGTGTGCATGTGTATATTATATATAAATAAGTCTTCAGGCCTTTTTTCCTCATCTTGGAAATTTCAGCTCTTGATTTAAAACTACATCAAATCCCAGGTTTTAGCAAAAACATATTACAGACAACAATCCTTACCTTTGAGCTTTTCACCTGTTGCCATTTCAACCACAGCCTTAGCTCCTTGTTCAACACTTCTAGTGGCCTTTGTGAAACGCAGGAGTCCATGCAGGATAAACTTGCGGTAAAACTTCTGGGCATTGCTTGTGTTTCGGAATAATTCTGTAGTTGGAATAAAACCTGAAAACCCAAAAGAAATGATAAGTAATGAGAACAGTTGATTATGAAGTGAAGTGCACATATGCACCACAGAGAGGCAGAAGTGAGTCATGCGAGTGTAGTGGAGAGAGTAAGGGGGAGAGAGGAAAAGAAATCATTGGATTATGGATACTGGAAATTAGCAGGGTATGAAAAACACTGGGCATACCTGGGCAAAGGCAGTTGACGGTGACACCAGTGTTCTCCAGCTGTTTGGCAAGTTCATAAGTAAACATAGCATTGGCCAATTTGGAATTCTTGTAGGCTTGGTGGGAGTTGTATGTATTTTCCTTCTCCAAGAAGAAGTTTTCCACATCAAGGGTCTCCATGACTGCAAGAAGTTTCAGATAAATTATAAGTATTAAAGACAATAGCAAAACTAATCTAAAATGTAAGTCATTAAAATGTACACATTTTTCTATGTTAGAAGGCTTAAACTTTACCAAGTGTATGTTTAAAATTAAATGACATACCTTGCTGTCGTCTGGCTAAAGCCTTATTATGCACACATGTCACAACAACAATCCTAGCATCACCATTTTCTTCAGCTCCAGTTTTTTTCAAATCAGGCAATAGCAAATGAGTTAACAAAAAGGGCCCTGAAATAGAAAAGTTCAATGAAAGAAACTATTCAAAATAAGTGAAATTTTTACAATTCAAGCCAACTTACTATTATAAATAGCTAAAATAACTGCCACACAAATTAGATTAAGTTAAAATTGTTACAAGTTCAACTCGATAAAACATGAAGTAGATTGAATTAAGCAGAGCTAATCTAAATATAGGACTTCACTTCTTCATACATTCAAATTTCATCCGAACATCTTTTTGGAAAGTTTGTTTTTTTTTCTTTTAATATAAAGTGCTTGTACAAAAATGCGATGAGTACACAAGAAAAATTCTCCAGCAGCCAAGATTTCTTGCTGCAAATTAAATTGTAATTTATTAAACTCACTGCATTAAATTTAAGAGTTTCTATTATAACATGTATATAGAAAAAACAAAACGACCAACTGTTTTAAAACAATAACTAAAGTCATTTGTCAAATTTTCCCTTTAGAAGAGAAAAGGGTATGGGTATATATATATATATATATATATATACACACACACACACACACACAAGATAAATATAAAGAAATAAGCTCAATTTTAAATCTTTGAAAAGCGTAGTGACTCGAGTGCCAATATTGAGGTTATTCAAGAATATCAACAAAATATTGACAAAAACTTCTGCAGTAGTAACTGGCATGGAATAGTTAAGAATTTGCAATGAGCAAATTTTTAAAAAGAGCTGTCAGTCATAGGAAGAGGGCAAACATGTCTCAGTTTGAGCCACAATATAAGTGCACAACATTAAGCAGTAGTAATAGTTTGTATAAACAAGTACAAAAGGCTACTAGTTATAATTCTGCAAATAGCTTTCTTCAAGAAAAACAAGATTTTAGCAGTTGCTGCTTATCAAGTCCCACTAATTTTACATATTCTATGCAGACAAGAGTTTTTTTTCAATGCATTTTAGTTTACCACAGCTAATAGTTTAATTTTGATTAAAACTTGGAACTTCACCCCACCCCCCAAAAAACCCAATGTACACATTAGCAAAGAAATATTCACTCACCTAAGTGATTTGTTCCCATTGTTAATTCAAAGTTATCCTTTGTAAATTGTCGCTTACTATCTTTTGGATTCAAAAAGTGCCCAGCATTGTTAATAAGGATATGCAGCTTTTTCTCTGTGGCATGGAAATCTTCCACAAACTTATGGATGGAGGCCTTATCAGCCAAGTCAAGCTGAAAAGAAAGAAACAGCATTGAAGGACAATCCATAATATTTTTATTACATTCTATCCTGCATAAGATTTGTCTGACAGTATGAAATTGATAAAATCTTGTTTTAATTGTCAATTAAGCTAGAACATTTAGAACCAACATCAGTTGCAAGATTAAGAATTCTTGTGAAGAACTCAGAGGAAATCAGTTACAATGTTTAAAATTTGACCAAAATTGCAGTTCCAGTTGGTGAATACCTTAATACACAGCACACAAACCAGTGCTTAAAGTTCTAAACTCAATAGAGAAAGGATACCAGATTAAATTTGCTTGGTCAGAAAGGATTTTTCATACATCCTCAATAAGGATTTAATCATGCAGCTGTTCAAGGAGACAAAGTTGCATTAAAAATATCAAGGTCTTTAAAACGGACAAATTTTTTTACTAATACTCAATTATATAAAACTTTATTTTAACTAAGATAGACAAAGTAAAATTTTGCTTTTAAGTAGAACCAGTTCTGCTCGCCTAGAGAGAAAGACGCTTAAAATTAAGCAAACTTACCTGCATGAAAGTAGCAAGAGCATTTGGATTCTTGCTGAGAATTTTCTCTACGGCAGCTTTACCTTTTTCTTCATTTCTGCAAGCAAGGATAACATCATTTCCTCCTTCACATAAGAGACGGGCAGTCTCAAATCCAATACCGGAGTTGGACCCAGTTATAATAGCTACACGCCCCGTCATCTTCACACCCTACACCTGGAGAGAGAGAGACAAAAAAAAGTAATCAGAAACTGACAAATGTCAAATACAGAGTTTTACATTTCTTTATGCTGTAATAAAATTAAATTTGTCAGCAGGAAAATTTTAAGAGCCCCTCCACCCACCGTTTATACTAAGTTCCAACACTTTAAACGAGAGAGAAAGAGAAAATGTTGAAACTATAGATTAGTAGTTTCTCAAACACTTAGTTGAACAAGCCTTCCAAGTTTGACAAAATTCACTTGCAGCGGTTGATTGATGTAACAAGTGAAAGACTTTTTTGAGGTGGTTTGAAACCGAACTAATCAATAACTTAAAAGCATATTATATAAAAAAAAAAAAAAAAAAAAAAAAAAAAAGTTAGTGTTATGAGAGTACTTTCAGGAAGTAGGAAAATATATGCCTTACTTTACAGAGTTTATCATCTCCCCACCACAACTAATCAATATTCTATCCAAAACCAAGGGTTAAAACCAGATATAGGAAAAAGCAGACAACAGTTTACTACACTTGTTAGCATTTTTTTTTTAAAGACATAAGTTGATCAGTGAAGCATAGCTTCAATAAATGAGAGAGAGGGGCAGAGAGAGGCCAAATAAGTCAGTAGCTTAGAACATGTTGCATATTGAAAGAAAAATAACATTTTATAATGTGCAGTTAAAACTCAATTTGTCTAGCTATGTTCTTTGCAGATTTGTCAACCTGTTGAATTAGAGCAAGTAGCTTTATCAAGTGAATTTGAACAGCTCATTTGATCATTAGCATCTTCAGTTTTCACGAGACTTGTTACACTGAAGTTAATATCAACAGGTGGCTCAGAACAAAATATCAGCAGATTACCAAAATTTAAAGATACTTGAAGTCTTAAACTTTAATAAACAGGTAAACTGATTATTACAAATCACTAAGAATTTACTTTAAACCCTGTCAAAATATCAAGTTCTATACTTCAATTATTAAAGTTGAAGTTGGTATGAAATAGCTGAAATGGAAAGGAAAAAAAAATCTATATCCTTTGAAGAGTTGACAAGATCTTTTGTAAAGTAGAAAAGATTTAATATAATATTCAAGTTAAAAGAAAACCATTTCCCCTAAACCTAGATTAGAATCATTGTTATCTAACAGATGCATCATATTTGCCACCCCACCTCCCATACACTTGGAAAGAGGCTTCTTAGTTAAAACCTATGACTAAACAAAAATAAACCTGCCTTAGGAAGCGGCACCCACTGTAGTATATTGGAAGCGTATTAGAGTAAAGAGTTAAAGATTTGTTTTCATTGAGTCAGTTTTTTTTGTAAAGGCTACACAATTTGGCACTGAACAAATTTCAAGTGACAAAATCCAAACAAGCCAGGCAGGAAATAGCAAAAGGCTTACAAGAAAAATAGAGGGCATGTATTATAATATAGACATTCAAGTGGCATCCTGACAGTTATAAAGAAACACTGCCAAGTTAGTTGTAATACTCAACCTCACACAAAAAAAAAAAAAAAAAAAAAAAAAAAAATGCATTTAGCTGCATCTATTTTTTTAAGACTCAAAAGCTTTTAGTTCAAGGAGAGGAATGATATGCAATGACAACAGTACAATTTTCATCTTAGATACAAATTTTTTTTTGCACATGTTTGCCAACAATTATGAGGGAGAAGAAAAGAAAACTTGCTTGACAAGTGTTTACAGATTAACCATATTGTAGGGATCAACAAATTTAACATCGCTACAATGGGCCGTTACAAAGTTACCAAACTGCCAACATTTCATTTAGTGAGAACATGCATATATACCTTCAATTACAACACAAAACATCTTTACCTTACCTCCATCCACCTGGCAACCCAGAACACTTTTCAATCCATCTTATAGTATATGTTTTTTTATTTTATTTATTTAGTAACAGCTTAACCGATTAGGTTGAATAAGTTTTTTAAAAAAAGTTACCTAATCAATATTTGCCAATTAATAACTACATTATAGATTCAGACCCTACATATGAAGAGCCATAAAACCAGTCAGCCAAGAATTAGTTAAATCTGTGCTCTTCAATTAAAGAGTCATTAATTAATGCAAAAAAAATAAATCAGGAAGTTTAAGTATTTGTTTTAGTTCAACAGACTAAAAAGTTTAAGTCACATTAATATTACTTTTCATTATGCAAATTTTCATTTATCTTTTACATTTGGTACAGTATTTGAAGCTAAAATATACTGTTTAACAAATTTGACTCCCATTCTCAAAGTTAGATTTTTTTTTTCATTCTGGAATTTAGCACAAGCAAGGTTTAATAGAATTATTGGTTACAAAGCAATAAACCGTTCCAATATCTGAACAAATGATCTATGCATGTTATGCAAGATCATCTCATTTGTTTAAGAGAGGGGAGGAAGAACAGAAAAAAAGAAAAGAAAAGAGACCTATTTGATCAGGGCATGTAGACCAAGAGGAAATGACATCCCTAGAACCTGCTAAAAAAAAAAAAAAAAAAAAAAAAAAAAAAAAAAAAGTACGCTAAGTCATGCTTTGATAAAACTGAAAACAGTTTCCACAAGTAACAATCAAAATAGTCTTTAAGCTTTTAAAGGGATTATAAATTATGATGCTTTTATAAGTTAAAAGTCAAACCAATAGTATATGGCGTTACCTGCTGCAAAGACTAAATCATTAATACTTATCCTGCTTGATATTAGAAAAAGAAATAGAAACCCCATTTGGATAGACAAATTTAACATTTTGGGAAAGAAAACAGAACATTACTAATCATCTGTTTTTGTACTCAGGAACTCGTATGTATGCTTGCTTCAAGACCAATTTTTATCAAAATGTGGATTAGTAGGCAGTCAATAACCAGCCTTATGGGCACCTTGTTGCAGCATAAATGGTCAACAAGCTGAAAGTCAGTAATGTGTTCAATTCTCACTGGTGCCCCCACCATATTTGTGGCCTTGTACCAAATTTAAGCTACATTTAACAAATAGTAGACACTTATTAGTAATGGTTAAATAAATAGGATAGATCAAGAGATTTTCAGAGTTCTCACTATTAAACAACCCCCTCTCCAAGCCAGTTACAACATTAAATTTAGCTTGTAGTTGTAAGCCTTTGGAAGATAAGAGGCCGCCACAATTTTATATATATATATATATATATATATAATTTTGTCATGCCTAAGCTCAAAATAACACTAACATGTTATCCTTAAAATGGAGAGGGGAGAGAGAGAGAGAGAGAGAAAGCTTATCTTAACTGTATAAGACAACATTGTGATTACTAATTGAGCATGTGTGGAGAGTTCTTGGGAAGATACACTTCCCAAAAATCAATTACTTTGACATTGGTTCTTTAAAATACAAAGACTTTTCAGCACCCACCACCATGTATCTCTCAAATGATCATTACGATTTTTTGAGGTTTTCAAAACATCACAGCTTAAGTACAAAAGGAAAAGGGACTGTGATACAGGTTATAAAGATTCAAGAGTTTATGGCATAAGTTAATAACACGACCTGTGTGCGTGTGTCCACTTTCAATTACCTTCAAAAGAGGAAAGAGAAAAGGAAACTACTTTAGTGGACGAGCAGGATGTTTGTACTAAATCTTGCTAATGTCGCCTCCAACTTGTAGAAAACGTGTGTAAAGTTCAACTGCCATGGCAACAATAGTAGTCAGGTGGTAGCAGCATCTTGAAATAACCATCATCTGCTTTCAACTTGTACTTTATATCAAGTATTTAATTGGTCATTAAGACATGCCAGCTGCAAGATTATCATTATTCAACCATTTCATTCTGTTCTTGACAGTTCTGATGAAATATTAAATTAATGCAAACCATTTTGTGTAACAACTGAAGATTTGCTGCAATGCAATAAAACAGAATTCAATTTTACAATAAGCTCATATCCAAATAGATTTGATGGCATAAATATGCAAATTATAAACAAAGATTTCAGACACTTAAAGACTTAAGTGAGAAAAACATTACCATCCAAACTCCTCAGAATTAGCAAATACATTCAAATACTTTGCTCACTATCAGAAAAAGCAGCCCCCACTATCAGCGAGTCTCTAAGCCAACCATATGGTTGCTAGAAAGACGACATGTAGATAGCATATTGCAATGTTCCTCATGACCAAAGCATAAAAACTAGTTAAGATTTGTTACCAAGAGAGTGAAATATGGAAATTTTAAATTTGTACAGGTTGCCATAGCAAACAATGTTTTCAGACAACACATCAGATCACTTACATCTACCCACACCTTTTGTCACAACTATTCAGGATGCAAGACATACCATATGGAAAAGGGGAAAAAAAACAAAACAAAAAAAACAAAACAAAAAAAAGAAAAAAAACTGACAACGAAACAAACTAATAACTTTTTCAGACAGCACAAAATGATTCATTTAAAGTGTTTAAAATGCAATTGATTTTTATTAAGTTCACAAGATAAAACACATTTAAGAAAATATTAACTGTTGCAAAGAAGTTGCACACGTTCATGTCAATTTGAACATGAATTAGTAGAGCAGAAATCTTTACACTTGGTCACTTTAAAATGACTGAAAATATAGTTTATAGTTTTAACTTAAGAGAGTAAGATTGTAGGGGAGATGAAAGCAATCAGTTTGGACAGAGTATGCAAAAGTAAAAACAGCTGGAAGCATTCATAGAAAAGTTTAATTTTATTCGGGACGCTAATGACATTACAAAAATAGCGTTTTTACGGTTTGAATTTTAAAGAGTCGTCATTTAAGTAAAATTAAGATGAAATCTCAAAATACAGGTTTTTAGCTGGGTGGTAAAAGTGTAATCGGTATCCAGCGATTCAAGAACATCACCCCCCCCATATAAATTCTTGTTGGAAAAATTCTTAAGCTGAAACCAAATGCGTGTGTGTAGATAATTTAGATGAGTAGAATAAGAAAATAATGTTGAGCCAAGCTTAAGTTAGAGCTCGAAATGACAGGCTTCAAGAGGGAAAGGTACATCCTAATAGAGAATTTCGGAGACGAGTGTGAGGGACCACTAATTAAATCTGATAAGCACTCCAATATTTAAGTGATGTTAGCGGAGTTAGAAATAGGTAGCTCGTCAATTGAAATACTAACTAAAATTATCACTACACACTTGTATTAGATGTGAATTATTTACGCGAAAACAACTAAGTTCTAAAAAGGTTTCTCATTGAAGTTTTTGTCTTCAGTTTAAAGAAAAAACAATAAAAACACGGGAGATCACCATGAACATCAACAGGCTGTAAAAATTGATTTTTTTTTTTTTTTACCTAGCTACTTTTACAGCAGAAAGTTACCGAGAAAGACTAAGCGTTAACTGTAGTAAATCTTTGCCAAAGTTATGATCTTTCTTAGCGGTGAGCAACACGTTCGATGATTCTACAGAATCATACACATAGCTTTGTTTACAGTTTTACATTTTCCGCCTAGCAAGATTCGAACAAGCTTTGTTTGTTTCAGTCTTGTTTGTCCAAATTATGTTGGAAATAGAAAGTTAACTGAATCAAGACTCAAGAAGAGGCTCAAAACTTTGTGACATTATTTAAGAAAAGTCCATAATAATCTTATTTTTTTCTTATTGAGTTTTGTTTGAAGGATAAAAGAATATAACCAGGGTGCCCAAATGAGCTACAGATGAAAACTTCATAGAAGTGAACATAAAGTGGCAGTTAAAAAGCAATGAAGATAAGAGTTTTGTGCGGGGAAATGTTAGTTGGCCTGCGATGCGCTGCGGTTTCAAGAGGAAGTTTCTCTTGCAACAACAAGAGCTACTACTAGCAGCTCAACCTCCATTTCTCTCCTCTTCCTTCTCTCAACTGAACGAATAGAATAAGAAAGGAAGGAAAGAAGGAAGGAAGCAGTTGGCCAAGAACAACCATCCTCGCCGTCATTAATATCAAGAGATGGAGACAGCGCGTGCACGCTCGAGCGTTGTCCCCCGCCACCACGCCGATTGGGCCGAACAAGAGGCCAACATGGGAAATAGTGGGTTGAAAGCAAAGCATACTCTCCCGCCACAATAAAAAAAATATTGGCAGCTGCAGAAACAAAACCGGGGTTAGAGAGGAGGCTAGATTAAAATTAAGTTTTTACAGCTTCTTGGTGTACATTTACGGCTCAGTCAAAAAGGATAAGGTGGTCTTAAATTAAAAAATGGGAAGTATTTTAGATTTTTCTGTAAAATAACAAGAGTGCAAATAAGAAAAAAAAGCCCAACAAAATTAGTTATGAATTAGAAATTTACTTAGATGAATAGTTAAAACATTTACTAAATAAGTTAAACGTATTGGGTAATAAAAGGTTTATTTTAGAATCTTAAAATTTTTGGATTGACCCCCCCAACAAAAGAATTTGTTCATATGGCACTCGTACTCTTGTTATTAATAAATCCTTCAGGACTATTAAGAGCATTTAAATTGGGGAAAAATAAAATGAATCGTTAGACAATGAGTAAAGTTAGATAGCAATTGTGAATAATAATATAAGTGCAAAAATGCCGGTCCTTGTGCCGGGTCCTCATCTGCAACCATGACGGGAAAAAAAAGCTGGTGATGGAGGAAGAACGACTGCAACTACTAATTTAGTAGTAAGATGAGTGACGGCCATAATGAGATATAGTGGGAATAGAGAACTGTTGGCAGAACTACCGGCTTCAATGTTAATGGTAAAAAAAACAAAAATAAATATGGGTAGGAACTAGATAAAAAAGAAAAAAAGTAGGCACAACTTAGAGAGTCCCCCCCCTTCACCAAAGAGGGACATCCTCACCGAAATCCCTTTATCATCTAAAAATTTGAAAGCCAGTAAATAACCAAAGCCAATAAGACGAATATAAAGAAAAATAAACTGCCACTAAAATTATTTTAAAAATAAAAGATAGATTAAAAAAAAAAAAAAAAAGAAAAAAAAAAAAGACCTTTTTGGTAGACAAAGAAAGCAGCTCCCACTTAAATTCAAAGAGTTTGTGTAACTTAAATTTAAGTGAAATCGATGGAACATAAGTTCTTTACGGGAAATCGAAACTAGTCACGTTTTCTAAGTAATCGGTAAATCATGTAGAGCGGATGACATGTACCATTTATGCTTCAGACCAAGAGAAAAGGTTCTGAAGAACTGCAGTGCTATTCTAGGATAAGGAAGACATTGAATTATTGAAATTTGGCACGGCCGCCGCAATGGGAGGGGCAGAAGAAAATACATACTCCAAATTTTTAGCATACTAAGTCTTAACAGTCAGAAAAGAAGTGACAAATGAAGAAATAAAGTGATTGTAATAACCAACTACATTTTGAACAATGAAATACGCGGGCGTTACTACTTTACTTTGTATCAAGACAAAGGCTCGAAGCTTTACTCACATAGGAGCTACAAAGAGCCGTGGGGTCACTTGCCGGTTGGGACTTTTTATTTAATCGCTTTATGGAAAGAGCCTACAATATTCTAGATTGCTGTCAATCGCATGTTTGTCTTTTCTTTTAAGTTGTCACTTGATTGTCAAAAATGGCATTTGAGCTTAGAAGCCGCTAAAGCATTGTATTTTGCAGTTTCAGAGAAAGTGAAAATTCTAAGTTTGAAATCTGATATTTTTTTTTTAACGAATTAAGAGGGTAATAAAAATTAGTTAATATGGAAAACAAAAAAAACTGACCGAATGGACAAAATATTGATAGACCTAATTTAGATAATGAAAGGATTCTGGGTTTTGTCCTATCAGCACGTACACAGCTGACGGGAGAGCAAGAGTGCCCTAAAAATAAAAAGAAGGCTTTTATTTGGTTCAGAAGCCATTTAATGAAATGGCTCAGATTTTACGAAAAATATGCAAGAGACTGAACTATCAAGTTCAGAGAAATTTAACATTTTTTTTCTTCAAAGAAACATGTGGAGAATTGTCATCGAGAATTAAGTTTCGCATGCGTAATTTAATTTGCCGATGACATTTTGGGATTTATGTCGATCAAATTGCATAAAGCGAATAAAGGAAGCTTTTGTAGAAGAAATAAAAGGAAAGCCGGGATCCCGGCCTGCTAGCATCGTGGATTAATCAGCACTCTTGAACAGTTACTGAAAGTAAAAACCGGAGACTCAGTTAAGAACAGATGAAGTTTTTTTTTTTTCTTTTTAAAATATAATTTTAAAAAAGGAAGTTAAGATTTTTTTTTAACGAGTCTAAATGAAATTTGCTTAGCGGTTAAACTAAAGCCGATGCACATATATATAAGTTTCTAGGCGAAAATCCTGAAATTGAACCCTTCGTCGTAAAGGGAGTTATGGCTAACATGGCAATTTTAAGAGAAAATTTTCCAAGAATTTTCACATCGAAGAGCTTTAAACTAGACAGACAAATGAAAGCATTTTTTTTTAAAAAAATTTGTATCAAAGAAGCCGATAAATCAGAGGGTATTTGAAAAATATTACAGACTGGAAGTTTTGATTCAAATTTAGGATAAGAGACAAGGAATAAGTTCTTTGAGACGAGCTATAACCCCACCCAAATTCTTGAATATGGAATTTCTACGAAATTTGAACTTTAAGTTTAAAAAATTTTTTACGCTTACATTAGATAAGCAAACCATTTTTTTTTATTTATTTCAAGGAAATATTGAAGATTAAAAAGGCAAAAATTATCTCAGAATTTATCGCCGGCTTTTTTTCGGGAAGCGCAAGAACATACAATTGATATTTTACGGACATTTTTTTGTTTTAATTTGTTTATCTTTTTTTTTTTTTTTTTAGAAGAGAAAAATAAAGGGGCAGACAGAATTAGATTTTAGGAAAAAACTCAATTTAAGAAAAAGATTTCAGAAGAAAATACTTATATTCGACATTTTTATATAATTAAATAATTAATAAGTTTCATGAAGGAATAGAAAAAAAAGGCTTTTTTTATGGCTAACGGGGCACAGTTTTTCTATTAATTTCATTTTACCAATTTGGAAATGAGGTTCATAACTTTTTTTCCTTTCGCAAACTAAGGAATAGAAAGCAAGAGGAGATTTATAAACTGGTTGACAATTCTTACCTGCTGTCAGAAACCAAGTAACACTGTTTTAGGAATATAGCCGGTTAAAATCCTCCAAACATTCAAATCCAAAGTGTGCGGGTTGTATTATTATTATTTTCTTTTTTTTTTTTGTGGCAGTGCTTTTTCCAGTAAAGAGCAGAAGGGAATAAAAGTTAACGTCAAGACGACGGCGCCTGACTTGAGTCAAGTGTGGCTACTAGCAGCAGCAGCTTCTCTTTCTTCTCGCTACGGCAACTGTCACTCGCCCCCTCCTTCAAAGATTCTGATTCTGTTTACCTCACCCGCTTTATTTTATCTCCTCTCCTCTCCACTTCGCTTCACTCATACTTGCACTCTCACTATTTCTCACAACTACCCTCTATTATTGCCTTATCCTTTTTAATCTTCATCTCTCTCTCTCTCTCTCTCTCTCTCTCTCTTACTATTCTTTTTTTTAAGCGAGAAGGAGTAGATTTAAAAAAAAAAATCTACTCCTTCTCGCTTCCACCACTCTGCCCTATTTCTTCGACCTTATTAATCAACATCCCCCCTCTGGTTTATTATGTTCAGTATCTTTAGTTCCCTCTTTTTTGATTTGCACTTTTTAATCTGTCACCCCCTAACTTGTATCTTACTTGCTATCTACCTCATCACTCATTCACTGGTTTCCCCTCGTTCTTTCTCTAATGCTTTTTTTTTCGCCTTTTTATTCTCTCTCTCTTTTTAATATTTTTTTTACCCTCTTGAATCTACACTCGGTTTTTATTTCCTTCAATAATCTATCTCATTATCTTTATCATTTTTCTCTCACTCTCTAATTCCTTTCTTTACTCTTGCAATCTATCTCTTCTCGTTTTTACTAGTCCATATCTCTTTGTTAAGTTAACTAACACTTCCTTTCGTCATCTTCATAATCGATGTTATCTCTCTTTCTCTCTCATTTTCATAATCACATTTCATTCTTTATCATTTTTCTCTCTCCCTCTACTAAATGTCCCCATATTTTTCTCCGTTAGAGTTTCGTCTATACAAAAATTAACTAAAACCTATTTTTCTCTATAAAATTATCTCAACATACAATTTTAACTTATTTGTACATTAAAAAAAAACATTTTCTTTGTTGCATATTTTAAATTTATAAATTTTTCTCTTCTTTTCAAATATTTTCCGGCCTCTTTTTTTTAGCCAGTTTTTTCTTTCTGCGTTTCTTACTAAATTATCTTAGTTTCTTTCTATGATCAACCTTTTCCCCCATTTTATTTTCTTTACCCTAACAAACCTCGCTCTGTTAAACAGTTAAACACTCTATTCATTCTATTTTCTAATAAAAAAAATCTTATTCATTGTATTTTTTTTATCTAGATTTTCATCGCGATTATATCCTTTTTTATTATTCGTACTGTAAATTTTCTAGTTCGTACATGCATCATTTTCTTTTTTTACACAGTCGAAGTTAATCCCTTTCTTCATCGCTCTTTTCAAAAACATTTTCATGATACAATCTGCGACCCAGCGCATTCGTCTCCCTCTTCCATGATAAAATGTGATTATGAGAATCTCTTTCACTTTCAAAATTACACACAATTTACATACACGCACCCTTTTACTAGTACGTACATATTTGTATATTTATTCATATAAATAAACATCTATACAGCGCATAGATATAGTCATACAATGACAGAAAGAAAGGGAGAGAAAAAGAGAGAACTGTACATTATAGTAGAGAGAGTTTTCTTAGTAGTCCCAGAGCCCGCGCTCTCTCATACTTCTTTGGGTCTCCGGAACTATTACAGTTAGAACCTGGCTTTGGGTATGGATCACTCCGCGGTGTATGGATGTGCATTCATTTGTATGTTGCCTGAGTGACACGGTCAACAGCATCACATGGAGAGGAAAAAAAAAGAAAGAAAGAAAAAAAATGCTTTTAGAGAGAAAAACGATGGAAATGCGTGAATCAAATAAATAAAAGGAACTAGTGTGAGAAAAAAAAAAGATACGACAAATAATATAGGGAAGTGGGGAAATAGATAAAAGATTAGGGAAAGTAAAGAAAGAACCAAACAGGCATAATCTTCTGAGCGAATAGAGGAGTAATAATTTAAAACGTGCGATGTGTGCGCTCTAAGAAAAGATTATCATTAAATAGAGAAAGCACAAGAGATGTGTGCTGGGAGTTGACAGAGACATTTTTGAACTATAGTGGAAAATTTAAAAAAAAAAAATGAAACCGGCACTGAAAGATGTGTAGAGTATAGAGAAAAACAAACAATATATTTTCAAATATTTATATTTTTAAGGCATTCAAATTTTAAAAAAAAGAAAAGCAAGGAAAAATGTTTATGCGTGTTTTGTACAAAAACACAAAGCATACTGGGAAATTGCATACATTAAATATATTGTTTTACAGCTGTAGGTTTAACATGGAAATATTTAGAAAGAAATGACAACTAAGTAGAGATTTCTATATTTGAGCAGGGGACTATGTCTCAATGTCTACATCTTCCCTAAAAAAAAAAGTGAAGGGGGGATGATGTCATCCAAAATACTTCCGTTATTTTGCTGACCTCTGACATTCTTAACTCCTTCTTACAAAGTAACAAAAGAATCCCTCACCCGACAAATGAACTTAGTTTCTTTTTACTTGTTTGTAGACTAATGCTATCAGTTCTGATTTTCGGCTTGTCTTTTTACTTTATTTATCCTTACAATGTGATGTCACAGCGACAGCTGTCATTGACGAGTAACAGCATAACATTAACAAAAAATAAAATGTAAATTAATAATCACCTAAAAAGCCCCAAGAACAACAAAGATATTTTTAAATTTCACATTTTTTTTCTTTTGGCTTTGGCATATATTACTTTACTTTCCTTTACGAGCGTGGGATTGAACAGGCTGTACCCAAATTTTCCTTTTTAAAGCAAAACATGCATTAAAATTACAAGTAATCTGGTTCCTTTCGTCGTCTTACCACAAATTATGGATTCAAATTTTTCCTTCGCGATATTTTTTCCTTACCTTACACAGGAACTTGGAAACCAATCTGTAGACCCCCGAAATTTTCAGAGAATTACTATGACAACGAAAACCCATTTTATCCGAAATTAGGCCCAAAATGACACTATATTTTATTTTTAAAGTTTGCACTTTTTAAAAATAAAATTATATCCGTTTTTTGTGGGACGTATGCCTTTATTTTAGTATATATTTTAGCATAAAATTTTATGCATTTATTTTGATATTCTTTTTTTAATGTGAGGTACATAACGAGAAAGGGAGAATTTCAATTTATTTGTGTAGGTTCTCATTGGTGAGAAATTATACAAGGGGTTTACGAGGGAGACGGAGAAAGGCGGAGGTTGAAAGTGTAACACACACCACCAAGTCCCATGTAGCCCTGCCCGTGAGCCCAGAGAAACCTTTTAAAGCTAATAATAATAAGGGCCTAAAATTCATATGTACTATAAATCAAACAAGATTTGATTAAGGCATAGAATGTACACGCGCGAGTGCTAGGTGACGTGTGTAAGTACTTTAACTTACGACTACTATTTACCTAGAGAATGAATACCGGTTTAAATGTTTCTTAAATTAATAATATAAATTATAACTTTAAAATTTTAGATATCAGTGTAATAATTAATAAACAAGCAATATTATTTTGACGTTTTACTGTTAGTGTTAACAACAATTACTTTTAGTTTTACAGTAAATTGTATTGTAGTTGTAGTAAAACTTTTACTACAACTACAATACATCAATTCTCAGACTACTACTGTGAAAAAGACCATACACGCTTCACATTCTTAAAATTAAAAACAAGATGCAAGTAATATATATTTATAATGAATGTATATATGCATAAGTGAAGGCAATTTTATTTTTCAGTTACTTGAGATCCCGCCTTATTTCCCTATAGAGACGGTGGTGGTGAGAATGTTGGAGAGTGTGTTTGTGTGTGTGTGTGTGTGTGTGTTTGTGTGTGTGTGTGTGTGTGTGTGTGTGTGTGTTGTATTCAATGATGTTGGGTGGGTGGCAAAGTATTCACGCAGTAATTAGACATTATTCGCATGATATAAAACATAGAGGCGCGAAGGACAGCATACAAGAAAAAAAAGAAAAAAAACCCTTAACAAAAGAATTTCCTTCCTTTCTTTTTTGACCTTTTTTTTTTCATTTAGGGATTAACTTCAGTCGTTCTTTTCTCACATGATACATTATTTGCAATATGTCTTTTTTTTAGTTTTCTCTAGCCATTTTTTAAAACAGAGTTGGGGGGGGGGAGTAGATTTTATAACGTGAAACGATAAGTTTATAACTATAAGAAAAAGATTATCAACATGGTAAAACTGTGAATAGATGTGCAAACTAAAGCTTTAAATGAATGGGACACAATTCATAGACTTTTACTGTTATTTGGTCTTCTTGAAGTAGGGAGTTTCGTGTGTGTTTGTACGCGTACGCGCGTGTATTGTACATTTTTAAGTTAAGATTAAGAATGATGAGTGTCATTAAATACAAATAAAAATTGTTTTAATAAACAAAAAAGATTTTTTAATATTTCTTGAATCGTTTTTCTCAATTTTTCAAAATTACCCACAGCATTTATTACTGCGTTACGAACAAATACATTCATTTAAAAGAAATGAGCTCTTCGTGTTTCTGAAAATCGTTCAAACCACGTTTTCATTGTCGTACATTATGTAGTCACGTGACCAAGTCCATTCTTAGTTTCTCTTTATGATTTGTCATAAACATTGATGTTAATAATAATAATTGCAGTAATTATAATGATAAATCATCCACGTGTTTAGTTTATTATACTAGTTAATTTGTGACAAGCTAATTTTCAAAAGGATCTTCTTCTTAATTTTAAATTATTTTAATTGTCAAAAGCTTTTTTTATGGTATTGTAATATGAGACGCGTTTAATAAAAGAACTGTTTTTTTTTTTGTCCCATGCCTGCCTTTTCTTGTGTACGTTTCACAGTCGGCAGATGATGTTTATGAGATAAGTGAGACTGAAAAAGAGAAATCAGGGTGGACAATGTTACCCGACCGCCAGGATTTTTATTTATATATCGCTCAATAAAGCATGTCATCCCTGATTCTCAAGAATGTGAATACTGTGACAAGAGAGAAAAAGAAGACATGTCATTTTCTTTGTTTCTTTAATAACCAATTTTCAAAATATTAGAAAGCTGTCAAACAAAGAAAAATTTATTTAATCAGTTGAAAGTAAGAAAAATTAGGAGAATTTAACCGAACCCGCTTTCCTTTTTAAATATGTTTCAATTCAATAGGGATTTCTTTGCGTTAAGAAAGACTAAAGGATTTTTTTCTTTTTTTAAAATAAAAAGAAGCTTATTTTTAAAAGAAAACACATGGAAGTTAGTAGGATGTACTTCCGTGATCCCCAGGATTTGTTTGAACAGCCCATGTATTTTTTATTCATATCAGATTCTCAGATGGAAGTCTAAAATTTACAAAATGTACATGCCTATTTTTTTACGGAGTTGCTTGGTTTTAGTTTTCGTTGTCTTACTCTACCGCAGGAAATGATTGCCAATATAGACATGCTGCAATGAAATATATTTTAAGTCGTATCATTGTTAGTTGTGAAGTCAATACAATACAAAATAAAATATTAAAAAAAAAAAAAAAAAAAAAACTACCCGGGATGAAAACAATTCCACAAAACAAAATGTAATGTTAGAGTTCGGTTTTTAATCAATCTTTTTTTCATTCTCTTTCTCACTGCCTTTTTATCTTTCTCTCCCTGTCTTTTTGTTACCTCTCATTTTCATTGTCTTAAAATTAAATCAATTACACTCATTTGCTTTTTAACTCTTTGCCTCTCTTTCTCTCTCACACATCTGACCTCACTTTCTCACTTGTTCTCTCTCTCTTTCTCTGTCACTTCTTGTACACACACACACACACACACACACACACACACACACACACACACACACACACACGCTATCTCTCTCGCTCTCATTCTCTGTTTTTACTTTCTCTTTGTCTCCATCACAATCCGTCTTTCTCATCCCTGCCACTATCTATCTATCTATCTATCTATCTATCTATCTATCTATCTATCTATATCTATCTATGTGATAATCTCTTGCACAAACTCTTATTTGATCCCTATCTTGTGTAGTCTCTTTTTCTCTCTTTACCTTTCTTTCTCGACTCTTCTCTCTTTGCTTGTGTAAGTGGTTTGTACTTTGGATCAAAACAGAGTCAAAAAACCTTTCTTGGCTGTAGTATTTATTTTCCTAACAAACTATTTTTGTTCAAATAATACATGACATGTTCTCAACTGAGAGAAGTCATTCTTTCAAGAGGCTTGCAAACTGAGTGTTCTGATCTGTTTGGATGGATTTCACAATCTGATACAGACTTTCCTAAAACATGGCGATTAAAACACATCAAAGATAATGACAGTTGTCTGAATATCTCATGAAATAACAAACAGAATATTTCATTTCTAAGATATTAATATCTACTTGGGAGTTGCTTACAAGATGTCACCCCTAAAATTTCATTCTACTGGGGTTTCTAACTTTAACAGTGCATTCATTGTTTAGTGAGTGAAGACAATTTGTGGATGGTGATGAAGGCAGTGAATGCAATGATTTTCCTGGAGTGGCTGAGGAGAATTTCCTTAGCCTGGGTCTTTTTACTCTGTCAGGGAAATTCATAGCAATTCAAGATAATTTGTAGATTGGGAATGAAAGAAGTGCAAACAATGATTGCCTTGGAGTGGTTGTTGTAATATCTTGAAAGAAATTTCTTTGTCTTCAGTCTTCTTACTCTGGCAATGTATTTGATAGTTATTCAAAGTAATTTGTAGATGGTGATGAAGACAGTGAAAGCAATGATTTTTTTTGGAGTGACTGATGAGATATCAATTTTTTTATCCTGGGTCTTTTTATTTGACAGTGAATTAGATTCAAAACAATTTGCAGATGGTGACGAAGGCAGTGAAAGCAATGATTGTCCTGGAATGAAATATCTTCAAAGAAATTTTGGCAAAGTTTAACAAACATATCTGCAAAAAATGGTGTGTCAAAAGGACATTTTTTTTCTCTCAATACTGCTATTACTGTTTACAATTTTTATTGTTTTAAAAAGGCATTTCTAGAAATTTAATAAAACCCAATCATATGAAACGAGAATTATATATTTTTAAATAAATTATAAATCTTTAAAAGTTAACATTTTAAAAACTTTTACAAAATTATGTTTTTCAGAGAGTAGAAAAGAGGTTGACCCATAATTGTTGGATTTTCAAACCTTGAATTTGTATCAATTAGGCATGCTAGATCACAATTAGAAAAAAAAAAGCATTTCTAAAAATTATTTGCTTTGATTTTACAAGTTCAATTTTGGATTTTAAAACTGTAATTGTCCATTTTATGATGAACATTTAATGATAGCTAAATGACCACACCACTTGGTATAATTAAAACAATAAGTTATTTGAAATATAATCTGAGAAGGAAATGTATAATATCTAGAAAATTTATTTTTTCAAAATCTATAATTTTGTTGTGTTTAATTAAAATTTCTTATTCTATAGTTCACAGACATTTTTATAAGAATAAGAAAATTTGTTTTCATAGTTATTTCATTATGATATGGTAAATAAATAAAGAGTCTAATAACTAAATAGTTTTTATATATTTGTTGTAAATTCTTAAGAAAAAGAGCGTATAAATCGAGCTTTATGTGTTTGGGTTTT